GCTGGAGTTCTATGAAATGAGACTTTGTAGGGGATGAGGGCACTATTGGCTATAAAAATGAGGCACCCCGTAGGTTTATGGTTGTTTTGAGTTATGGACTGAATATTTGTTTGATATTTTTGAGAGACAAGTTGACTGCTTTGATCGTCGGAGTACCTCACGTAAACGAGCCACCAAGATATTCTTGTCTTCTTGTGCATAAGCGTTGGTTTAATCTATTTTGTCGCATGCTCTCCACCTAAATTCCTTATTTGATTGTGAGGTAAAAAATCAACACCCAAAAAAAAAAAAAAAAAACATATAAAATATTCATAAAATATTCAAAGAACACATCGCTGTGAAAATAATTGAGTCCTTACCTGCCCAATGCCCTATGATATTTTTTCTCATCTTAAACATCTCATCATTCCTCTCCTCTTATGCCCTCTCAACTCATCCCATGTATCTGTATTTATACATTATACAAAATAGTTGAGAAAATATACAAAATAAGATATACTTTTTGATATTTCCAAAATCTTGGTTGCCGAGAGCCAATCAATGCCCTTACATTACAGAGGAAAAATATTTTGGACTTCTAATTTTTGAACTCTAAAGTCGGATCCAATGAGCTCGCAATAGGCCTCACCCGTTGTAATGAGATGTTTTATTTTTTTTTTCTCCGTATCATGTCATTATGCTCTATTAGAATACCAAAATTCTTACTCTAAATCATTTTTGTTACACAAAATTAGTTTCTGGCAAGTGGGTGTTTGATTTTTTTTGGTTAAAATTTATAAAAAGAGAAAACAAATTAAAATAATTAATAAAATAAAATATCACATTAAATTTATAATTGTTTTATTTTTCTCTCATAAATATTACATCTAACTATAAAAAAATATAACCATCTTTTTAAATATAAAAATTTTATTTATTAAAATAATTAAAAACTAAAATAACATACTAAAACGACAAATGCTATATATCTCAAATTTTCTACTAAAGAAATAACCAAATGTCTTAGGGGTTGTTTGGGGTGTCCTAAATAAATGCACTTTTTGACTTTTTAGACTAAAAAGATGAGAAAAAAAATATGATTGTTTTGGATAATTTTTTAACTTTTTACGAAAAAATATGTATTAAAAAATTGTATAAATTAGTGTATAGGGGAAGATTGAAATAAAATAGGTTGTACGGTGGGATGAGGTAAGGGACAGCGTGCAGTGTATAGGCTAAGAGACGATTCTCTCCTTTTCGAGCATTGAATAGACGATGTCGTTCGACCCGTGGGGGCCCACCACAAGTCCCGTTTTGCTAATCGGAACCGTTCAATATATAGAACTCGTCGAGTACTGTATGCTTATAAAAAATCACATTGATCGGATATCGATAGCTATCTGATCGATTAATTTTTTTCAACTGTTAACTATAACACCATCCTTTTTTATACAAAACTGATTTGATCATGTAGTTAGCGATATCCGATTTACGTGATATTTTATAGACGTATAGTACTCAACGAGTTGTACATATTGAACGGTTTAGATTATCAAAACGGAATCTATGATGGCCCCCACGGGCCGAACAGCACTGTGTTGTTTGTGCACTCTGCCTGTACAATTTTTCCCCAAAAGTCAGCTCGTGCTTGTGGGACATCAGTTCAGTTTGTAATAATTTTGTATAAAATAATTTTTTTTATATTTTTTTTGGTGAATAGTGATAACTTTTAAATTTTTTTAATAATTTTTTTACTTTTTAAATTATTTTAAAGATCTCAAATCAGACCTTACATGAATATAGAGTCCACAAAATTATAAAAATTATAAACGCTCATCTATATGAAACATTTAATTTTTATTTAATAAAAAATTTAATAACTCTAACATTACTCCCCTAAAACAGTTCATTTTTCAAACAATGTCGGCAGGACCATTCTAAGGACAAGAAACCACGATGTTAACACAGCCATTGCATAATTGCAGCAATAGTTGGCATTCCCAAAGCCCACCACGCATACACCAAACCAAGTCCACATGCCTCCAAAAAAACACCAATTCCATTAAATATATTTTTCTATTGACAGAAAAATCCCAACAACACTTACCTTGGATCTTGTAACGTAATTCTTAATCTATACACACTATAGAATAAAACTATTTAGGGGGTAATTACAAAAAAAAATAAAAAAATCAGACTTTGAATTTCATAATAAAATAAATTTTAATTTTATAATTTTATTAATTTAAATCTTAATTTTTTAATTTATTTTTAATCTAAATCATTTGTATATTTTCATTAAGTAAAACTGACTAAAAAATAATATTTTAGTCATTAAACTCAATAGATGTATACATAAAATGTCTAAAATATTTTTTATGAGTTTAATGACTAAAATATCTATTTTTTCATTGATTTTACTTAACCAAAATAGACAAATAATTTTGATTAAAAATAAATCCAAAATATAAGGTTTAAATTAATAAAATTAAAAACTCATAATTTATTTTGTTACATAACTCAAACTCTAATTTTTTATTTTTTGGATAATTTGGCCAATTATTTATGCAATAGGTAAACGAGCGTGGTATATTGGTAAAAGTAACTTGGGCCTTTTACTTTAGAAAATAAAACAAACAAAACCTTCTTCTTCTTCTTTTTTATTTTATTTTATTTTATTTTTATTTTTTTATTGTAGTTAATATGACTGTCACAGTTGTCATGAATAATTTTAAAGATTTTAAATTTTTATAATTTATATAATGCGTAGGGGTGATAATGTTAAAATGGCAATCTTTGTCTGTGATACAAAGTCCCTATTGCATCATTACGTAATTTATCTAATATAAAACTAGGTAAAGTAGGATAGATAACAAAGCCTTCATCCAATGAGCTGTCTTCCTTCCTTGACCAAGATATTTGCGCAGCCATTTGCTTCACAGAAGATGTGCCTCACTTCTGTCACTCCTAACTGATCTATGAGGAACCTGCAATCAATTATAGGGTTGCTTAATTGATGGTGTTGAGGAACAGGTTTGTTTAGAGCATCAATTTCCACATCTATGTGGCATAGATTCAGATCAAAGGCCAGTTGTAAACCATCCCGCAAGGCCCCACAATTCTGCAGCCACACTATTTGAGAAGCCAATAATGTTTCTTCTGAAACCACACACCCAGTTACCCAAGGAGTTTCTAATAAGACCACTCGCCAAAGCTTCTCCCGGATAACCCTTTGCAGCACCATCAGTGTTAGGTATACATGTCTGGGAGGTTCAGGAGGTTTCCAACTGACAAAGGAAAGGGATTTGTTCCTGGATGGATGGGGGTAATTTGAGATGAATTGCCAATCCATGGCTTTGGCCACAATGTTAAAGTGATAATATCATAACATATGTTGATACACTGTCGCACCACTGATAACCATTTATTTTAAAAATAAATATGATTCATTGCAGTAGGACTCTAAAAACGATCCGACTAAAGTAAAATGAAAGCTAATATTGGACACTATTTCTCTCTTGAAAAATTATTTGCGGTTCACGAGCATCAATTAATGAGCCATGACTCCTGCTATTCTCTAATTAGTCAACATAAATATATTATGTTACTTTCTAATTATTCAACACAAAATCGTAAAATTTACCATCTCTACTAAACACAATAAAGTACCTTATTTGTTTATCATATATAATGGGCGGATATGAGAGGAACTGGATATAACATGAGGTAGATCCCACATGTTTTATTGTCTCTCTATATCCCATGTTTGGTTGCTCTAGATATAAAGAGTCCCGATAATATATGGTGCAAAATGGGAATATGCAATACCAACATGGGTATTGTATATATCTACCGTTGGATATAGAGAATCTTTCATCTAACGATTAAAAATAATTACTCTTCTTATATCCTATCTTAACTAAACATAATATAAATAATCTCACAGTATAATTCATCTCATATTCCACAACATATTATATCACATTTTTATCTTTAAACATTACATATTTTTCTTGAACTTTTATATTTAATATCAACAATCAAAACTGCCCTAAGATACTATTCTCCACGACCACCAAATAACTTTTTCCTTTTGCATGTGTGGTCTGGTCTGGTCCGCCCTCGTCGTATCAGTGAACTTCTGCTTTTAATGTGTGTTCTGGTCCTACTCGTATAAGCGAACTTGACAATCGTCCGAATTTTATGTGGACCGTGATTACTAGGTGTCTTCTATTGCGTCAAAATATGCAGTCAAGTTCGCACAAAATACAAATAGGAGGTGGCTTACCCTGGTCCACCATCTGGAGGGCCTGTGGGCCATAAAATTTATTAGGGATATTTTTATGACAATTTAAATTATTTATTTTATCAAATTCTTTATATATATATATATATATATATTATTTTTTAAAAAAATTAAATCAGTTTAATAATTATAATTTATTTAATTTATTACATTTATTATAAAAAATAAATGATATAATTTTAAAAATACAATTATTGTCCTTTTTTTATTATAAAAACTATAATAAATTAAATAAATTATAATATACATAAAATAATCAATAAAATGAACGGTTTCAAAAAAACAAAATCCTCATAATAAATCCTACGAATCCAAACAACGGAAGGATAATTAAGTAATGGTGTGTTAACTTCTAAAGAAATATAACATAAAAGTATATTTGTGACTAATAAATATTTCAAGGTGCACACACTAGACTTTCAATCAAAGATTTTATTATATTAGTTTGAAAAAATAGTATTATTATTTAAGACAAAAAATTAGATTAAATTTTTAAGTTTAATAGTGTGACAAATCAATTAGGATATTAAAAAGTAACATTTTATCTCATATAGCCTTTAATTATCAATTAATCGTGCCACTTATATACCATTAAATTTAAAAAATAGATTTAAAAAAAAAATAAAATAGTTACGTTGGTTCATGGAACAAATAGGAGAGAGAGAGTCGTTGGAATCGAAACAGATACCTGGAATAAACTAATAATAATAATAATTTGAGAACCCCGAATCAGAGGGGCGAAGTAAGTAACACACGGCGCACGCCAGCCTCTCTCACCATGACTCTCTTAACCAAATTTTCTTCTTCTAACCACTTCAATAACCCCTCCCCATTTCCACCTTTATTAACCACCTCCACCTCCTCTTCCTTTTCCATTTCTCCCAAACACCACCTCCATCATCGTCCCTCCCTTCTCGGAGCCACACCGCCTCCGGTTCGTCTCTGTGTTCTCTGTTCCTCATCCCCTCTCTCCGGTTGGTAAACATTTCTCAATGCTCTCTCTCTCTCTCTCTCTCTCTCTCTGTATATGCGAGTGTTTTGTTTTCTGTGCATATGTGTATTTGTTTTTGTATGTATTGAACTCTGTTATATTTGATGGTTCTAGATCTTCCGTTCATATGAGTCTCTGACCTGGATGTTTACGAACGATTATCTTGTGTTGTAGATTTGAAATGTGTTGGTTGTATTAATGTATTAGATGTTGTTTTCTGATTATTGGTGGTTTTTGCCGTAGATTAGATTCGTTTTTTGTGCATTTTGGCTTGATCTGAGTTCGTTGGCGTTATAATAGACCCTACGATACGATTCCCCTGTGTTACTGGCTTTGCCTGTGTATATCTGAATTCGCTTTCTGGACTTCTTTTGGCTCGGACATTTCTTCAAACATGTAGAGGAAAAGTTATTGAATATACGAATTTTACTTATTAGAAATGAAGGCCAAAGTGGGCATTGTAACAGACAATAAGTTTTTTTTTTATAAATTTTATAGGGCTGCTTAGGGTAGGCAGACTTACTGGATACTTATTAAGGACACATTGGGGGCCAATTGACTAGCAGATGCACAAACAGATGATGAGCAAAGCATGTACAACTAATTTGGGTGAAAATTCTTTGCATTTACGACAATATCACGTTTACAAATTGTGTACATTAGAATGGATTAAATATATTGATTATGAAATTAAAAACACATAACATAACTCACTTAACAGAGGTTGAAAGCTACTGTTGCAATACCATAATCTCTCTGTTTGCATAATGGATTTTACTTAACATCAGTAGGAAGCTAGTTATTTGTTTTGTTTTGTTTTGTTTTTTTTTGAATTGTGTGGAGACGATTTCAAAACCTTTCTCCATTTTCTAAATTTTGTTAGGCTAACATTGCATGACCTCATTCTGAACTTGCTACTCTTGAAATGTAACTGTAAAATTTTAGTGATAGCATGTACAATTTGGGTGAAAATTCTTTGCATTTACGACAATATCACATTTACAAACTGTGTACATTAGAATGGATTAAATATATTGATTATGAAATTAAAAACACATAACATAACTCACTTAACAGAGGTTGAAAGCTACTGTTGCAATACCATAATCTCTCTGTTTGCATAATGGATTTTACTTAACATCAGTAGGAAGCTAGTTATTTGTTTTGTTTTGTTTTGTTTTTTTTTGAATTGTGTGGAGACGATTTCAAAACCTTTCTCCATTTTCTAAATTTTGTTAGGCTAACATTGCATGACCTCATTCTGAACTTGCTACTCTTGAAATGTAACTGTAAAATTTTAGTGATGGGACGGCAGCTGAAGATTTGGGATAGAGTAGTTAGAATCCAAATTACACCTAGTTCAAGGTGCCCACTTCAGCACCTCATTCCAATCAAAATTTCCATGCAGAACTTTCCCCTACACCCATGCTTGAGGGCGAAAGACTAGCCTTCTGCAGAATGAACCAAATCAAACCAAAAGCCTTGTGTCCTAAACGAGTGGGGTCGACTACATGACTTGGAATATGGTAGTATAAAAGGATATGAATTCATGTATGTAGCCGACCCCACTTGTCCAAGTAGGCTATGATGTAACCTCGCCTGTGTATATATTTAATAGATTTAATAAACAAGTTGCCATGATGTGCAAGTAGCCAGCATGCAAACCTAAATAGCAGTAAATGTTTTGCATCACCTTTACACAATATTTTAATGGAATTAGTTTCTCAAAAAGCACAAGACTGTGGGAATGGCCAGTTAAATATTGGAACTATTTATATGTAGTAAATTTTGGACCATCTACTTCAGCTAGTTTTAGTGTGTTTTATATTTCATTTGAAACAAAAGACCAATAAAAGACCAATACTTAGTTGGGTTAGATTGGTGTTTTTTCATTGATTATGCTTCTCTTATGCGATAATTAAGAAAACATAAAGCCTCAGTTATTTCTTCGTAGGCAAAACACATTTTTTTCTTCATTTTTTTTTTTCCCCTGTTATTTGATGAAGAGAGGCTTCAGATTGTCTAATAGATGCTGTATGTGCAGAGGAGATAGTGGATCATCCTCTGATTCATTGTGATGTGGCTGCAGAGTCATGGCATTTGCTATTTTCTGTTTTAGATGTTAATTGGGTGATGCCAGTTCTGTTCTTAAGCTGTTGAAGTAACCAAAAAACTCTGGAAGTGATGTCGCTTACCTGTTAGATTAAATGTTACTTATTATCAGATCTGTATAATCATTCATATGATTTTTGGAAGTTGACAACTAAAGCTATGTTGTTTGTGTTGCTTGGGGTGAGATTTTTCCTTGACTCTTTGATTTTGGTAGTAAATGCACATATTTAATAAATTCTCTCTGACATAAATTGCATGTTCTGTCTTTGAGTCCTGAATTCAGACATGTGGTTGTTACTTTTACTCAATCCCTTTATTTGATAGGCATTTTCTAAAGTTGATATGTTGATTACCTTTGTAAATAATCTCCCATTTCTTCGATGTTAACTTGCAGATATGGATTCCACTGGGGGCCTGAGCTTGTTTCCATCGCACCGTTGTAAAACAATTCACCTGGTTTGTGCCATTTTTGTCCTTCTTTTTGGCTTTTCCTTTTCTCTTTTGTCCAGTGGTAAAAAAGAGGTCTGATGATCTGTGGATCTGAAACTGCCACAGACTTGGCTTTCCATTTGCACTGTCCAATGCATTTTGGTCTTAATACCCATTTATGTAGGTGAGGCATGCACAAGGCATCCACAACGTAGAAGGAGAAAAGGACCATAGCGCATACTTATCAGATGAGCTCTTTGATGCACATCTCACACCTCTTGGCTGGCAGCAGGTAATAAAGATATGGTTTTGTTATCAGTTGACTCAGTAGGCAATCCTACCATCTTATGCATCAGTTTTATTAAGAGTGGATTTTTTCTTTTGGCAGTTCTGATTAATTGTCTCTTCAAGTGAAGAGAGAATTTTTCGATATGGTTTTCCAGAAACTGTTTGATTTTAGTTTTCTTATATGGTCGTCGTACAAAATGTTTGGTCAACAAAGCAGTACAGTTTTGATTAGAAATTTATTATACCTTTCTTTCCATTTCATATATTAGTATTAAAGAATGCTTCAGAGAACTTTGTGGTTGTAACAGGTAGATAACCTACGGAAGCATGTTCATACATGTGGGATTTCCAAGAAGGTCGAATTAGTCGTAACTTCCCCTTTGTTAAGGTATGAGTTTGTCATAGTTTCTGTCCACACTGAAGCCTTTATGTTATGAACAATACAAAGTTTTCTACCTTAGTTCTCTATGTCATCCAGCAAGCTTGTGATTGTTGTGTGTGGATGTATGCACATGTTCAGCCAAAGAAATAAATTAAAATAGAAAAGGGGAAGGAGAAGAAAGACAAGATTGCAAAATATACTATTTTTCAAGGTTGACTTGCTTGCATATATAATTGTGACTTTTGAACTGCCTTGGTTGTGGTTTAATTATATTAATCTTATTAACATATTTGAATTCATTTCAAGCTGATTTTTATTTATTTATGATACCTTATTGTGTTGCATGTTTAAAGGTTTTGTAATTTGAAACTACATTGGTTTCATCCATGTACCACACCACATAAATGAATACTACGCAAGGCATTTTTGTTCATCTATGGCATGCTTTTTTTCGCTTAGTTAGGCTGTCTACAATATTTCTTTTCCTTTGTTCATTTAATGGGCAGCATAACTATTTATCTAGAGTGGCAAAATCTTGATGGTTAGGAGCAGCACCAATAGAAGATAAGTTGAGAGATAATCGATTGAGATGGTTTGGTCATATTCAACGGAGACCAACAGAGGCAGTAGTGAAGAGATACGACGCAGTAACGGTAGATGGAAGTGTTAAGGACCGGGTAGTCCTAAATTAACGTTGGCTGGCGTTGTAAATAGAGATATGAATCTACTTAATTTAATTAACGAAATGACCTTTGATAGAACCGCATGAAGAAGAAGGATTCATATAGCCGACCCCATTTGATGGGGCTTAAGACTTGGTTTGGTTTGGTTTGGTTTGGTTTGGCAAGGTCTTGATGGAGCATAATATTTTAAAAAAAGGCCAAATATCAAAAGACATAATAAGAAAGAAGTCCATATATGAATTTCCATATGATTTGTGAATTGGAATTGGTTGAAACGTTTTGATATAGGACAAGTAGGGATTATTTTCCTTCAAGTAGTGAGTCTGGATTAAGTATACTGGCAACAGCAACAATAGACTTATAGGGTTGGATTTGGTGAGATTTTGTGGTTGCAAAAGTATTTTTAAAAATGTAAGTTTAAGAGTTTGCAAAGACGTAGGGTTTTGGGAGTAAAAATACAACTGTTCAAGGGCTGTTGGGTGCCTATGCTAAGCACTGTGAACAATGACATGAACTACCTATGCTAAGCACTGTGAACAATGACATGAACTACCTTGCTAGAGAGAGAGAGAGAGGTGCTTCACCCTCACAAGGGATAAGCCAATCACACAAATACAATCTTAAATTTTCATAATATTAACTCTTCTCAATCATTAAGATTACACAAATTTATAGGCTAAAAACTCTCCTAATTCTATAAGGAGTATAACTCACATTTGGAAACTAAAAACATTTAGCAACTACTAATATTCGAGACCAACTATGACTTCCAATTCTACTTCAATCATAATAGGAAACTTTAATGAATTCTAATTCTACTTCAATATTAAAATAGAAAACTTGGACTTTTAACCACTAAGATTATTTTAGAAATAATAAAACACATATATAATGACCCATTTAATAACTTGGCCCAAAATAATAAAACTCATGGGCGACCCTTACAATCCATGTCCAACAATTATTGGAATTAATATTATACTCTTAATTACTAAAACCTACTCTAATGACTTTTGTTATCAGAATCTTACGATTTACGATTTGCGATTCGATTCACGATTTAATTCGCAATTTTTGCAAAATTGATACAAATCTACGGGAGAATCTCTTTTGGAAGTGAATCTATAGTGAATCACATGATTCACAATCGATCCACAATTCGATTCACTTTTTACAATTCATGCAATTCTTGAACCTATCGTGTCCAACATATTTTTGACTATTTTTTTCTCCATCTTTTTAGTAAAAATGAAAAAATTCAAGTGTTCAGGGGCTGTTGGGTAGCTGTTGTAAGCACTATGAACAATGACGTGAACTACCTTGCTCTAAAGAGAGAGAGAGAGAGGTGCTTCACTCTCACAAGGGATAGGCCAATCACACAAACACAATCTCAAATTTTCATAATATTGACTATTCTCAATCATTGAGATTACACATATTTATAGGTTAAAGACTCTCTTAATTCTATAAGGACTATAACTCAAATTTAGAAACTAAAAATATTTAGCAACAACTAATATTCGAGACCAACTATGACTTCCAATTCTACCTCAATCATAATATGAAACTTTAATGACTTCTAATTCTACTTCAATATTAAAATAAGAAATTTGGACTTTTGACTACAAAGATTATTTTAGACATAATAAAACACATATATAATGATCCATTTAATAACTTGACCCAAAATAATAAAACTCATGCGTGACCTCTACAACCTATGTCCAACAATTATTGGAATTAACATTATACCTTAATTACTAAAACCTACTATAATGACCTTTGTTATCAGAATCTTATGATTTGTGATTCGATTCACGATTTGATTTACAATTTTTTCAAAATCGATACGAATCTACAGGGAAATCTTTTTTGGAAGTGAATCTATAGTGAATCACACGATTCACAATCAATCCACGATTCGATTCACTTTTTACGGTTCATGTAATTCTTGAACCTATCGTGTCCAACATATTTTTGATTATTTTTTTCTCCATCTTTTTAGTAAAAATGACATAATACAACTTCTAATAGCGTTTCGTACCAAAATAACAAATACATATACATGATTTGTTATTATTTTAGTAATCATGGAGTTTTTAATAAGATCTAATTAGATTCAGTCACACCAACATGTTTTTAAGCTTCTCATTTTTTTTCTTAAAAGTTTATAATATATCTTCTTTAAGATTAAAGTAACTTATACCATGAATTATCTATTACTATTTTATTAAATTAAATATAGTTGAATATTACATAAGTGAGGCCAATTATACCTTTTAAAATATTTTAGGCTTTAAAATGAAAGATCCTAAATAATTCTATTATTTGGTCATTGTTACTTGGAAAAATATGTATGCTTATTGTCTAAATATCAATATTGTTGCTAAATTATTGTTACTTTGAAAATTGAGAGTTTGTCTTTACGTACTATCTTTTTTAAGAATGGTTAATAAGAAATATCTAAAAAAAGCAAAGCTAAGATGGTGATCTTACATAGGAACCTTTGTTAACTTCTTACCTATTAAACTATGTAACTGTCATTCAAAACAACATTTTTATTGATTTAAGTCATATATGTCATATTCATAAAATATATTTAACATCCAAGGGTATAAATATATTTTTCTAAGTAATTTAGAAAAAGTGACCAAATCTTTGCGATTCACAATTCGAATCCCGATTTGACAACTATGATAATGACATGAAGACTCGAAATCATTCCAAATCTTTAATTCTTGATGCCTTGAATATGCTTTATGTGAAATTCCAAATTGTTTTTTCTTCTTTCTATGATCGTCATCATTCTCCCCTACATTTGAAAAAATTCAACCTCGTGTTTTATAATGTTGGAGTGTAAGGATTATGGACCTTACACTTGCCACCATTCAAATTGATTGTTTTGAACGAACAATGAGAAAATCAAAAAGTTCAATGTTGTCATCACTCCATTGACCACATCGAATTTATTAGGAATAATAAATTCAATGTGAACTTCATTTTTCGCGTGAAAAGCAGAAAATTTAGTTGCATTCTCATCATTTTCTTTGGCTTCCTTGGCTTTAGAACCCTGATCATGATGATCTTTCATACTTTCTTTAGTAAGTAAATTAATTTTCGCCTTCGTTTCTGCAACATCCTCAATACTAGCAACATGTTCATCTTGCTCTTTCATATTTTCTTCAAAATATTCAACACTATCATCCTATTGCTCCTGGATAGTAGTCTTCTCTAAAACAGCAGCCAACAATCTTTCCATGAAAGCTTTCAATCCATTCAAAGTTATTTTGATAGTATGCACATCACTCTTTATTATTTCAACATCCTCCTTAATTATCATAAAATCCTCCTTTAACATCACAACATTTTTCTTAGTAGCTCTATAACTTCAAACTTCCAATTTAATTCAATGCTTGTCAACATTGTAATGAAGAAAGCAATTTCATCAACAGATTGGTAAGGAACAAAGTAGGATCTTGAATCCCTGATACCAAATTGATGTAGGACAAGAAGGGATTACTTTCCTACAAGTAATGAACCTGGGTTAAGTATACTGACAGCAGCAACAACACACTTATAGGGCTGGATTTTGTGGGATTTTGTGGCTGCAAAAGTATTTAAAAAATAGGAGTTTAAGGATTTGTAAAAAGGTAGGGTTTTGGGAATAAAATCACAAGTGTTTAGGGGCTATTGGGTAGCTGTTCTAAGCACTGTGAACCGTGACATGAACTACCTTGCTATAGAGAGAGAGAGAGAGAGAGAGAGGTGCTTCACCCTCACAAGGGATAGGCCAATCACAATCACACAAACACAATATCTCAAATTTTCATAATATCAACTCTTCTCCTCAATCATTGAGATTACACATATATTTATAGGCTAAAGACTCTCTTAATTCTATAAGGACTTCAACTCAAATTTAGAAACTAAAAATATTTAGTAACTACTAATATTCGAGACCAACTATGTCTTCCAATTCTACTTTAATCATAATAAGAAACTTTAATAACTTCTAATTCTACTTCAATATTAAAATAGGAAATTTGGACTTTTGACCACTAAGATTATTTTAGACGTAATAAAACCCATATCTAATGACCCATTTAATAACTTGATCCAAAATAATAAAATCCATGGGCTACTCGTATAACTCATCTCCAACAATTATTGGAATTACCATTATACCCTTAATTTCTAAAACCTACTAAAATGACATGAAGACTCGAAATTATTCCAAATCTTTAATTCTTGATACCCTAAATGTGCTTCATGTGAAATTCCAAATTTGCTCTTTTTCATCTTTCCATGATTTTCATCATGTTCATTGTAGGATGGGATCTTCATGCTAATGGCTGAAGTATTTTAACATATATGTACGAGTGTGATTACTAATGGCTGCATTGTAGGACCATGCAAACAGCAGTTGGAGTTTTTGGGGGTGAAGGTTACATGGATGGGATTGATGCACCTCCTTTAATGATGGCAAATACTGGGAAAAGTAGCCGTCCTGCATTCTCAAGTCTAAGTTGCCCACCATTCATCGCAGTTGAGCTTTGTCGTGAACATTTGGTATGTGACATTTAATGTCTGAACTTTTTTTTTTTCCTGCAATGAATATATAATATAATGGGTCTATTTCTTACTCTCAATTATCTTTGTCTAATTACTTTGGTTCTCTTAGTTTCTATATAAGGTTAATACTTTGAAGATCCACATGAATCATTTCTGATATTATCTGTTGCATCCACATCTACATTAAATTGTTATGATCATCAGGTACTCTATTCTTATGACTTTGTAGCTGCTCAAAGTCTTTTGGTCTACTACCTTGGTTGATTTTCAGCATTTCTGAGTCCAGATACGCTAGTGCTTTTTTTTTTTTTTTTACTAGTTAATTGACAGGGGGAAGAGGAAAGTATGCTACTGTTTTGAGTTTGACTTACCTCATTTGATTGTTGTCTAGAATTTTACAGCACAAAAATGTTGTTTGGCTTGTTGATGTTCTTGCCTGTTGACAGAGATGTGTGTTGTTCCTTAGGTGCTAGTTTATTGTCTGCCTGTAGCACAGTTCTTAAACTTGCAGGGACTTTGGTAGACATGTTTTGTATTTAACATTTTTGGGTCACAGACTATCCAATGTGGAGTTAGGACGAGTACGTACAATTTGAAGGCCTTACAAGGACAAAATGTGAGTACAGAGAATACAGGTTTATGGTTTAATGGATGATTAGATCACTATTTTGAGTTGTATAGTGAAAATGATCTGGGCTGCCTACTCCCAGGATTTTGGGTTTTTGCAATGTTGACTTTGGGGCTTGCCCAATAAGAGAAGGGAATAAAATTCCCTACGGCTCAAGTGATGAGGACTGGGGAGTAAAAGTACATTCTTCATGTCATTTGTTTGCAATGAAATCCTATTGGCGTTGCTTCGTTTCACAATGCAGTACACTTCAGAATGTGTCAGAAAAATTCAAACCAATGTAACATAAGTGGTGTTCAACCCTCTTTTATACTTGTTAAATATAAATGAAACTCGAAAGGCTTGTGTTGCATTTTATAACTCATCTTGCAAGTAGTAAAATGCCTTCAGCTTTTGCACTTTGGTAAATATTGGGTTCTCTATACCAACTGGTTTGTCCTTTCAACTACTGGTTTCATATTAGTAACTATAATTGAACTCCATCTGAATAAGAATTAATAGGAGTTTCTGGGATTTACCTTTAATTCCATTGTGAAGTAGCATTCCATTAGGTAATGTGATCTTTAAGGAAATTATTTTTCATTTTTATGGTGGCCTTTTTAACTGTTGCATATCATGTTTTAGTTGCTTTCAAGTATATATCCTGCAGGGCCATTGTTTTGCCACACTTGTAACTACAGACTTAGTTAATTGAGGCTTCCCACTTCTTCTTTTTTTGCTTTTTGCTTTCTCCCCTCCCCTTTTCTAAGTGACACTTAAATCCTTGGGTAACTGATTTCACATCTATGTTATAATGCAGGGTGTTCATCCATGTGATAAGAGGAGAAGCATTAGCGAATATAAACCTCTTTTTCCAGCTATTGATTTTTCACTGGCAAGTGCTTTTTTATAATTGTCATTTACGGTAGTGGAAAATTGGCCATGGGTTATGTATATGAATACGTGCATCTATGTATACCTTTTGAGGGGGGGAGCAACTGTCTGCTCCTCTGCAGGGTTACCTCTGGGTCCCACTTGCCTCGTCTTTTGTCGACAAAAAAGAATAATACTTTGTTTGTACTTCTCTTCAGATTGAAAATGATGCTGACATTTTGTGGAAGCCTGACATCAGAGAGAAGAATGAAGAACTTGCTGCAAGGGGAATGAAGCTTCTGAACTGGTGATTCCTTATCTCTGCTGTTAGTATATCTAGGCCTAAAATTTGATGTTCCTACTGAAAGAATTCTGGTGTTAAAAACTGAAATTTTGTTTTCTCAGCTAGAAGTGGTTTAATTTGTTCATGGACAGTCTTTCATCATTATTGAAGATTCCATTTTTTTTTTTTTTCTTCTTCCTTTTGCTTTCCTTTCCCTTTTTTAAAAGTGATCCCATTAAGCACATTGGTGTCGTTGAACATCAAGGAAAAGCCAGTTGGTTTTTTTATTTTTTATTTTTTAATTTATAGGACATAAATTGGCCTCCTAGTTTTTTATTTTTTACTAATTGTGCTTCCTTTTGCATTCCTTGCGTGTTTTCCATTTTGTTATTACTGTTGAGTAAGAGGTGTTTGAAACTTCATTACACATTTGGCCACTGGGTATTGCTAGCAGGTATGCCTTGATTAAAAGTTTAATATGTTTTTTTTTCTCTAAATACGAATCGAATATTTTAGCACATAAATAGCACTCTCATATATCTAATTTATATATTTTACCTATTGGCCACTGGGTATTACAAAGTTTGATATGACAGTTGGCAATTTCTTCTTTTCATTTATAATATATTTGTTTTCATTCTGTCTAGGTTGTGGACACGTAAAGAGAAGGAGATTGCAGTTGTTACCCACAGTGGATTCTTGATTCATACCCTAAGTGCATTTGGCAATGATTGTCATCCGGACATAAAGAGTGAACTATGCACACCGTAAGTGTCATTGACTTACTAAGTTTTACTTCTAGAGGGCAACATATTCGCTATCTGATTGAACATCTACATCAAGCAACCAATTAAAGGAAATTCTTTACTCCCATTAATTATTAATAGTTCGTTCATAAAGTTTTCGGACTATTCTTTGACTGGTTCTTGAACATGTAGTTAACACCTTATCAATTAATACCAAATTCTTTGCCACCCAATTGGTGACCAGAGAAGGGCCTGCCACATGCTTTCACGAACACTAGTTGGTGTGGAGAGAAACCTTACTGTCCTATCCTGTTGTCAATCCATTTCAAACTCATGATTTAAAGAGGATGGACTTCAACACCAGTAGACTAGTATGCCCTCCTAGATGAAGAGGAAGAAGGCTGACTTCTATACGCCGAATTGGTTTTTCCCTAGGCATTTAGCCATCTAAGAGCTAAAACATACAAAACATGCAACACAAACGCACACAGGTTGTGCACTGCCAGAATTAGTTTATAAGCTCCTTCCTGGTGTGTACTTTTTTGTTTTTTGTCTGCCTAACTCCCACTCCTTATCTCCTTATCTCCATGTAGCCGACCCCATTTGATGGGAGGCTTGGTTTGGTTTGGTTTGGAGGAGATATTTGGGATGCTCTAAATAAGTGCACTTTTTGACTTTTTATAAAAAAATGTGTAGAAAAGTAGAGAAAGTAGGTAGAAAAGTAAAGAGGAAATGTTAATAGATATTGATTGATGTGACCCAAACAAGTGTATGTATGCAAAAAAGTGCACTTTTTTAGTGCATGCCAAACAAGCACTTGTTGTTTCTGGTAAGAATAGTCTTGAGTGGATTTTGCCTGTGTGTGAATTTCACATTGATAGAATCAGTGCTCCGTGATTGAACATAGTGATCACTCTTGCTTGCAGTGGGGCATCTCCAGCCAAACCCCAACAAGGCAGCACTCTGGTTGATTGCAGATCTCTGATTCTATTGTGTGAAATTCACCCACACACACTATTTATAGATTTAGATATGCTTAAATTGTTCTAATTTTCCTCTGAATATGACAATGCTTGTCCATTGAGTGTAATGAATTATGAACTTTCGATGCTGGACAGATGTAAATTTAAGTTTGCATACATAAAAATTATGGATTGGCTTAACAGATATCGTACATTTTGCACACAAGCTCATTGATGACTTCCTTGCTTCATTGTTCTTCACAACTGATCGAATGTTATCTGCGATCATCCTTATGTATAATTGATCAATTGTTGTCTGTGATCCGTGTATTCAGGTTTAACAACTGTGAGCTTCGTTCAGTGGTCATTGTTGACAGAAGGTGAGCCTGTCATTACTGTAACTAGGAGAAGTTACACATTCTCCTTATTTTTTATTTTTTAAATCAACTAATTTACTGGTTCTGCAATGCAATCTGCAGTATGATAGGGTCAGATTCGTCAAATACCAACTATCCTGGAAAAATCCCTGCTGGGCCTGATCTTCCCAGTGATGCTGCAAATTAGAAGCAATCCAGGCATTGAAGTTGCCTAAATAATCATTTCGCTGTTTTGTGGGAAAACTTTATTACCTAGTTTGATATTTAGGACGACGCAATTCTTCAGAAGTTTTTGAAGGGGGGCTATATCCAAGGCAAGCTTGCAAAAGAAATGCTGTTGACTGTTCTTTTATTGAAGACTTGCAGGACATTAATTCAAGAACTACTAAATTCTTTTGTTGTTGTTGGCTTTTTGGCTTTTCGAAGGGTATTTTTGTAAATGTGAGCGTGCCAGCAAGGATCAATCAGTCCTTACAGAAATTGTGATTGCCAACCAATTATCAGACGATTGTGTTTTAGTTCTTTTCAGCCTCAATGAAGAGGACTTTTACTGGTGGCTTGACTTAGGAGAAATTAAGAGAAATAACAGTAATACGAAGAACAATTGAAGTATTTCATAAAAATGAACACTTACAACGGTCCGAACTCAGCCTCGGAGAGGTTTACAACAGCAATCTACTTGAATCTACTTGAAGCTACTCCTATGAATCGAAGTGCAGTACGGGTATTTAAAGTGCAGGTATTTAAAGAACAGGTATTTAAAGACTGGAAATGTAAAAGACTAGAAAAGAAAATATATAAAGTAAATGACTGATTTGTATGATCTGAGTTCGTCCTTCTTCTGGGGGTCTCTCTGTTATTTATACTTGTCAAAGATGACCTTCGAACTGCTCTTCGAACCGTCGAACTGCTCCTCCATGATCGCTGATCATGTTGCCTTAGAAGTAGCTCCATTATGTCACCATTTGCAGTTAAGCTTCCCTCTTGTATTTGAATTTGAATATGAGTAACTGTTGAAGCCACGTCATCTTGTATCCCGTTATTGATCTAGTGTGACTCAGATCATGTGAGAACCAATATTTATTGCCACGTGTACGATCAGGATTGAAGGCTTGAATAACCTTCCTTTATTACCCTTACTCTGCCACGTGTCGAACTGTAACTGGCTTTTACAAAATATGTAGCCAACAGTTGTCTAATAAATTATTATTATTTTTTTTTGGGTTGAAGGATTACATTTTGATTTAATGCTCTATTCATTGTGAGAATAATACTAGTTTTCCCTGCCCCTTTGGGATTCAACTAAACCTCAACAAATATGTATATTTATTTATGGAAACATGACTTACTCCACCACCCCTACTGATTTTTTATTGGCTGAAATTTTTATTTATTTATTTTTTTTTGGGAGGTGTCTTCCTCTCACTGCCCCCCACATGTATGTGGGGATGCTGAGGGTCACCCCCACTGGGAGTATGGAGCACTGCTGTTATTTATGATATGCTCAAAAATAAAAATAAAAAATTATTGTAATTTAACTGAAATTTTGCATGGAAAAAAAATATATCAACATTGCGTAACTCCTTTTAGCAGTCCAATATTGCTTTTGTGACCAATAAAAAATAAAATTTTAGTTCATTTTTCACAGTAGTTTAGTTTCAAATTCTCAATCAATCAATCTGGCAGTCACAGCAGCGGTGCAAATTTGTACACAAGATTAGCCCCTTGGTAGATTACGAGAGATTTAAATTAATGGAGGGAGAAAAAAAAAAGTAAAAAAAAGTTTTTTATTTTCTATCTTTTCACCATTTAAACATTGACATGAATGATTCATTACAACTCGAAATTAATTTTTTATAGACCTACCTGGCCGTGTGTTTCTTTGAATTGGAATACGACAAATATATAAAATAACTCAAAGAAATCACAAAAGACTCCAGCAAACTCCGAAATGCCACCACAGTAGAACTAACAAGTTAAGCCCAAGTAATCTGTTACAATGCCCTGACCATATATAGAACGAGCCCAACTAAAATGGCGAAGATAAGAACCAAAACAGCAGCCTTGATGTTAAAATCCGCTGACTTTGTAGATTTACCATCATTTCCATTGCTCGTAACAGTTCCACTCTCCTTTGAAGTGGAAACATCTTGACTAGAAGTAGAAGTTGAACTGAATGGGGCAACCGCATTCCAGAAAGATTTAGTGCTCAAAGCAAGGGGTTCTACCTCGGGTTCCAAGATTGTTGAGGAATCTGTTGGAGCTTCCATGGACATCAATTCAACACAGTGATCTTTAAGAACCTGAGTGAGCATGAAGAGCACAATCAACAAGAAGGAATAATATGCTCAAAACAATTTTGATTTTGACTATTGTTCAGTGTTTATAAAATAAGATTTCATTCATTGGATCTTCAGTGCATCCGAGATACCGTTTATCAAAATTTCATCAAAGGGGTTGTCATGCCAGATGTACAAAACATTGCCTTTTTGATTGTTAGTAGTGGTAATCGGGATTACTTTTAACTAGAACATTGAAATGTTTGAATGTTATCAGTAGTAGTAACAACTATCGCAAATGATTTGATGAAACCTTAAATGGATTTAAACAATCAGCATTACTTTCATAAGGATAACCAAGGTGCAAGCATGTAATTGGGAAAAGTGTGTACAGACGCAAGATTAGATGCACACCAAGGAGCTAATGAGATAAAGAATTCCATTTTCAATAAGGAATAGTCTCTAAAATGTATAGAAATTAAAGAAAACACCATGCCAAAAAATGTATTCTAATAACAATAGCAGATTAATTCACTAACGCAAGAGTAAAGCTATGCATGCACGAGTCTAGAAGACAGCTCTGCTTCTCATGTACTGTTTTCCAATGATACCAAATAGCTAGATGATTGGTTTGTCAAAGTAAGGAGTGCCAACCTCAATCGTCTCAGAGGGTTGTAGATAGTCACAGATATATGTACCCGCCAACCAAGGAACAAAGACTCTTCGTGGAAATGAAAGACTGCATTGTTTTCTGTTTGCAAATGCATAAAATAACAGATCTAATCAGTTAATAACTCGAAAATTATGTTTCAGCAGCAGACACTAAGTAAATTATATCCAAATAATAAGTGCTCCAATATGTAAGCTAGCTTTTCCGACTTTCAACCTTGTGCAATATAAGAAGAGAGATGACACCCTGCAGTTTTGAAGGGAAAAAGCGAACTAGAATGCAGACAGAAGTAGAATTCTATTAAAAAAATAATGAAATTCGATAAACAATAGAAGTGGCAACACAGACTTAATTTGGTGTCATAACAATAATCCCCTTCAACGGTTACTTTGCCAAGGCAGAGACAGTGAACATGCATACAATGGTATCACAGGTATATATGCGGGAGAAGGGTCATCTGTCCCAAGGAAAAAGCATCCAGTTCAAGCACAACCACTCCACAATGCCAATTGCGAATTCTCAAGAAAACACAATTTGGTAACCACCAATGGAGTACAAATAATTTTTTTTGAAAAAAAGAGCACATACAGTATAATATTCAATTTCTTGCACTGATGACTCCATAGACTGATTGTAATTTAAATATCTCAGGCAGGTAAAGCCTAGGTTCAACAGGGAACTTCTGACATCCAAGAAGAATCTGGGCAGTGTGTCATGTGGTATATCTTAATCTTAGTCTCTGCAATTTATGCACTTAGAAACATTCTGTGACATCAAGACAGTATGGGAGCATTAAATCAATCCATAGAATTAAGACAAACAGACGAATTATCAAATAGCACTAGCCCCTGCTTCTTCTCTTTTTTTTTTGATAAATAATGTGTTTTATTGAAAAAGCATCAAGAAGATGCAAGAAATACAAAACGACCAAGAGATAGAAAGAAAGCTCGCCTAACCAATTACATCATCCAAAAAATCTAAGAAAGAAAAAAGATCCGGCTCAACTTTACACTCCAACCAACTATACAAGGTAACTAAGAACCGATCATCCAACCAAGCCACCGAATGCTCAATTTCTTGGAAAATTCTCTTATTTCGTTCCAGCCAAACCAACCACATCAAACAGAAAGGCACCAAGGTCCACACCCGCCTCCGACCCATCCCAACCCGAGCCCCCCTCCAACTCCACAACATATCCACCACCCCCTTTGGCTGCACCCATGAAATCCCAAAAAGAGAACAAGCCAACCCCCAAAGGCGAGAAGTAATCGAACAATGGAGGAATAAATGTTCAACTAACTCCGCATCAACACAAGACATGCAACAACGGTTGACTAACACATGCCCTCGACAAACCAGATTATCAATGGTAAGATTACGACCTAAAGCAGCTGTCCACAAAATGAAGACCACCTTAGAAGGCACTAGCCCCTGCTTTTCACATAAACAATAAATACCAACTAGCCGAGTTCTGGTGCAATATGATTGACAATTACATGATTTCATAACCTACATATGCAGAAACTTTTCCACCAACAGATTGGAACAAACTGGAAAAGTGATATTTCCTTTTTGGAATGGTAATATGCATATATTGAAGATACCGCACCTCAATGAATGCAGATTGAGTTGGAGAAAGGGTTCTCCTGTTGTTAACTCATCACCCACTTCCTTTCCGCCATTAACAGTCAGGCTTGATTCTCCATCTGCCTCATCACAGCAGATATCCAACCTACTTAGCAGGCTCTCGATGATGTCTCCCTAAACACAAAAAAGCAATCAATCATTGCACTGAACAAGAGGTATAACCAAGTGTAATTTACAAGTTGAGCTGCAAATTTTATAAATTTCTGGGTGATACAAAGAATAGAATCTGTAAGCACAGTGGTGGAAAAACATTTGATAGTAAGTAATCAATTTTATTCCTATCACATTTAGAAATCAATGTTTTAATTGACAACTAGGCAAGTATGTAAACTACTATTGCAGTTTAGAATCCAGTTTATCTGGTTAATGATTACATGCGTTCAATATTTAAAACCAGATTGCACATGCAGTTACTAGTAATCAGCACCAGTGATTTCCAGACTCAAATTATTTCACCAACTGCAAAGCAAAAATAAATGATCAACAAAAGATCAAAAGCAACACCAACATTATTTATAACTTCATACCTTTAAATCAGCCAAAGCTTGTGAAAGCGGTTCTTTTGAATTTAAGTATGCAAAAGAACATACTGAGCCACTAAAGACAACAATACCAACCACCTCTTTTTGGCTGCATGCTTTACCAAAAGAAAAATTAAGTACATCAAAGTATAAATGTTAGAAACAAAAAGTAAAGAATGTTTAATGACAATCTAACCCAAAATGAAAAAGAGCCAACAGACCTTCAACAAATAAATCTTTCATAAATGGTAGAAGAAATTGCACTTCATGTAAGCCATCTGACACACATGACTCCTCCTCATCAACCACCTAAAATGTATGGACAGAAAAGGAAAAAGTCCTTATGCAAAACCAGACTTGTAGATAGCTGCTAACAATCATGTTCAGTTATAATATTTGAGCAAAAAACACAAAAAAAAAATATTTCTGCTTTACCAGCAGATAGATATAGTTGCATTTGGCATCAGCAATAATTCCTATTGCTATCAGTTAAAATAGCATAATGCATTTCATATAGAATCCAATCAACTGAAATAGCATAAGGCATTTCATAAAGAAAAAACTGCCATAAGAGTTCCCTCTTCCCTCTTGTCTTTTCTTTTCTTTCTCATCTTTTTTTCCCCCCCGTAGGCAATTGAAAAGAGAGGGAGAGAGCGAGAGAGAGCTCCATTTCAGTTTGGCTGCATATGCATGCCATTAATTCTGCATCTAGGTCGACTTGACGTCTACATGACAATGGTAAAAGCTCTAGGTTTTACAGACTGGGCACACATGTGAGCCCTTGCTGAAGGTTGGTGTCCATGTCAGTAATTCTGCAAAGCCCATGGACCGTAAGGGCACCTTTGCAGTATGCTTGCCCATCTTAAATTTCTCCCTTTTTAACAAGGCACACTCTAATAATACAATCAGTTAATGCATACAAGTAAAACCAAATCAACAATAGGCATAAAGCGTTATACTCCTATTTTGGAATGTATAAATTACATACATACATACACACACACACACACATAAAAACTTGTGATGGAAAGGTTGTGCAGGCATGACTCTACTTTTATCTTCCATCACATTATCAACAATACCAACTTCAGAAATCCCTCAAATGATCACATAATTTAGATGCTCCAAAGTAATGGCCCATGAAACAACTACAGATTAAAATGTTCAAACTTATACATGCATGAAACATGTCCTTGCTCAAACCACAGACAATGATAAACTCCATTACAAATCCTTCAAATATTTTTCAACATACTAGACTATCAGAAACTGGGGGTTCATTGTATAATGTGGCTCCAAATATAGACTATTCCAGAAATCTAAGAGATTATGGACAATACTACCCATTTCTTCAAAATGATCTCATAAGAGCATACATGGTGTTCAAAAATGAAACATAATTGATGATCACAAATAATATTCACATTCTTACCAAATTGCCGTCAATAATGGCCTTTGCACCTTTAAGCTCCTTAGCATGACTTGAAATTCCATGACGAAGAATGTCAGCCAACTTTCTGACATTTGATCCACTCTCATGACATATGGGCAATCTGCAAAGAGACGGTATGACTCATGAACAGAACAACCCAAAATAGCCTTCCAGAGCTAGCAGTCGAACCTTTTTTAAAAAAAATACACCAGTACCTAAAGTGCTTGTGAATAAAGTCACAATTGAAAATTTTGAAAGTTGCTCAAATTAGTAATTACTAGTCATTGCTCCAACACATTGAAAAAAAAAAAAAAAATCATAAAATAAATATATATATATATTAATGATATTGTGAATCAAATCATTCATTCACTTGTAGCTTTAAGCATTATGTAATGTTCTTTATATCAGGTATATTGTTGGTATAGAAAATATGAAATGCACTCCAAAATTCTAAAAAGTATAGTGCCAAGAAAATCTACATTTTTTTTATTTAAAAAAAAAAATCCTATTTTCCCCCCTTAGCCTGGACATCTTGTCAGAATGATCTTGAGGCATTAAACATCATAAATTTAGTCATTGCAGTAATTGGACAAGATTGAAATGGTAAAAAGATGAAAATGTTGGCTTATGATATAAGAGAGGTGGTAAATCCTCACACTTCATGACAAAATTAGTTCAACCAAGTTGCGTTGAAAGTGGTGTCTGATGACTAGAGGAAGCAATGGCCTTTGGAGAACTGTACTAAAGCTGACTACTGCAAAAAATACATTCTAATATGTTCATGCAATTGAAAGTTCACAGACAATTGATGAAACAAGCTGCTAACATTAAGTTGCATTGCATCAGAGCTTCTGATCTTTATCCTTACCCCATTTGGGACCAGAAGTTTGCCATTTTCTACCCTATAATAAGCTGGCTGTTCAAAAAAATAGACTGTTTGGACTTTGGGTAAGCACAGTGTTGCTTATGTAGAGGATACAAACCTTCACTTGTTGGAAGTGGATGGTTAGGTGTCAAAGCAACATTTGCTAGGTAAGTTCACCTCCTCATTCACTAAGTGATTCAAATATAAATTGACTTGATAATTGTTGTAACTTCCCACTTGGCAGATATGATAGGAATAAAGGAGAATACAAAACAAATCAATGGCGGTTCATTCTCAACCCCAGCAAATGAAAAACTGGTCACTCTGAAACAGTTGCGGAGCCACAGCAGGCCTAAGGGAATAACGGGCCCCCCCTCAGTTTTGATTTTTTTTTTTTTTTTTTTCTTGCATTGTTCACACACAATATGTAGCATGGTTTTTAAAATCGCGATCCGGATCATAGGATCGTACGATCCTACGATCCTACTTTGCCAAAACGATCTAGATCGTTGTAGGATCGATGTTACAATAGGATCGCAAGTAGGATCGTGTAGGACCGCATGGGATCGTGTAGGATCGCATGGGATCGTGTAGGATCGTGTAGGATCGTATAGGATTGCAAGTAGGGTCGTAGATTTTATGATTTTTCACCTTATTTTTAATATATAGCATTTTAATTTTAATTTTTATCTTTTTTTTTAATAGAAAGTAGGATCTTATGATCCTCGATCCGATCCTACGATCCGATCCACCAGACCCTCTCACCGATCCTATTTAGGATCCCGATTTTAACAACCTTGATATGTAGTTTATTTAGTACTCTTGGAGCGCCATATGGTGTTATTTATGTGGTGGTCTAAATCAATAATAAAGTGTCAAATTTTATGAATAGAATATAGGAACTCATTATTGTTAGGCAATTGGAAGATAATAGATGAATCACTTAGTGTGAGTTACGATTTCTTATATCCAAAGTACCACGTCATCAACACCACATAGGCGCTGTTTGGGAAGCCAGAAATGAGCCTATTATAGACTATTTTGAGAAAAAAGTCCAAAAACAACACTGTTGGAAGCTTTTTCAAAAAAAAAAATATATATATATAGGCTGCACAACCGGCAGTGTAGGCACAGCCTACACTGTCAGCTACAGCACTTGTTCCATCAATAAGTAAATTACGATTTTACCCCTTGATATCAATTAAAAAATATATATATTTTTAGGGACAAATTTGTCATTTTAAATTTAAACATCATTTCAACACACTTTCCAATACAACAACTCAACTAAAAATTCATCTTATCTTCCCAAACACAAAACTAAAATAGCCTACTAAAATAGCCAAAAAGCCAAATAGCCTACTAAAATAGCCACTTCCCAAACGAGGCCATAATATTCTAGGATTAGCTAATAATTTCTATTCAAAACACATTTTTATAATCAATACTATCTCTTTAATATTTTTCTATCAAATAAAAATTATAGAAATTTTATAATGATTTGTGCTATAAATGATTTGCTTCTATTCTCTAAAATTAAGAATTTTAATTTGTAATTTTTTGTGCTAAAATTGCATACTTACATTGTTATTGTGTTCGAGTTATTCCACATTATTATAGAATTTTAATTAGTTGCTATTAATAATAAATAATTAAAATTTTTAACTTAAATTTAGCTCATAAAATTATTATTATTTTATTATTGATCACCAAAAAAAAATAAAATTATAAAGTGTCCCCTCTACCTTAATTTCTTGGCTCCGCTATTGCTCTGAATTCATGAGGCAAAACAGAAAACAAAAACATAAATCACGGACAAGCAAAGGTGCCGTTTGGTAACACTTAGTAAACCACCTCATAAAGTTAGTTTCACCTTGTAGGTTAGGAACAATTTCATAATTCAAAAATCAAGTAAACGAGTTTCAAAATAAAAATAAACCATAGTATAACGTACAAAAGAGTAACAACCAATGAAAATATTACCTTAGATCAAAGGCATAAGTGCACCTAAACGTCTGAAGGGAAGCTAACACTCTGCCCATTTTGAAATCACAAGGCCGTAGACTGCTGGATGAAATATTTGAAGCCACTGCGCAATTTCGACACGTCCATCTAAAACAATAAATTTTAGGCCACCAGGTCAGTAAAAGGATTAAAATTATTTGGATGGTGCAACTCAAAAGAAAAGACCAAATGAACTTGAACAAAAAGACCTCCTTGGACTGTAACTGATGTGTATAAGCAATCTCTCATCCCAATCAGTTTCCAATAATGGGGCTGCTTCAGCAACTCCCTTTACAGTCTGCAAAGAGCCATTCTGTTGATAAGATGTCTGCTCACTACTAACAAAATGAACATAGGAATATTGCCATTCATCACAGAAAGTAGGGCTAATGAGGTAAAATCACACCCACTGTATGCTACATATGGGTTTCATCTTACTACTGCTGTAACTAGAGTGTGAGGACATGGGCACCAGGCTACAAGAGCTTGAGCCAGGTAAGAACTGTATTCACTTAAAATTGAATTTCATTTTTTTTTTTTTTTCCCTCCTTGAGTTTAAGCTGGTAACAACTTGCAAATTTTGAATGAAAGTAGATGATAAAACCTGGCAAAGTATAATGGTTGAATTCTTGAATGAGCCTTCACTGATCCATATATAGATGCCAAGCACCTTTATGCCACCCAGCAGCATTCTGGAGACCTAAAAGCACATAATGATAATGCCAAGAATGAAGTTCAACTCAGATTTCAACCCATAAAAATGAACCTGTATAAAAATGACTAGAGATTTTTTTTTAATTTTCCTTTCTTTTGACAGAACATGGCGTTGAAAAAAAGACAAAGAAGGGGCGGGAGGTGTAATTCAGCAAAATTAACTAGATTCTTATCTTTTTTTTTTTGTTTAGGTTAGGAAAATGAATATATATTTTCTAAAAAAATCCAAATTTCATTTCCTTTCCCTTTAATAAATCCAAGATCTGAACATTGCATTAAGGTAATTGGAATCAACAGCCAGTCCAATTCAAACAAACAGGTCGAAGCTTCACAACATATGGAAGATGGTACTATGGCAGGCTACAGCCCTTTGCCAGGTTGCAATCCTTGAGCATGGCAAACATATTCAATATCTATTCTCTCTCATGAGTTGGGTGGGTCATATGCACCGGCCATTTCAACATGTAGATGTAATCAGTAAGAAAACATATCAGTATGCTACAGTGGTGTAACTACTTGGAGCAGTTTCTGACCCTATTTAACTGTTTCAATTCGTAACTGTCAGTCTAATTGTTTCACTCGAGCACACGTAGTGTGTGCCAACACTTCTAGTTATTAGATATGTCTTGTTTACAGTATAATAGCACATAGAACCCAACAACCAGTAGAACTTACACAAATCCTCAGAAAATAGAACCCTTACGCTGTGTTTGGTTTAAGGATTTGGGAAGAGATCTGAAAACAGAAAGGGAAAAAATTGTGTACAACTCGGTGAAATGTACGTATATTTTACATTTTACCAAACTTTTCCGTTTTTGTTTCCATTTCCAAATCTCTTCCCAAATCCCCCACCCAAACACACCATTATAGAACCAGAAACCAATAAATCCCCTTCCTATCCAACAACTCCCCAAATGGTATCAAGTTCTAGCACAGAAAACCCAAGCATACAAAGGAATGTGATAACAATCCACAACAAAAAAATAAAATAAAATAAAAAAATGCAGAGCTGAATCATATTACAAATTTACGCTCCATTTTAGAAATTTCAAACGAATCACATTCTGCATTATGAACAATGAAAAATAGGATCATGTTTATCCTACAAACCACTTGCACATAGCGACCTAGAACTTCAATGGATTGAATCAAAATCACAATGTAAATCAAAACAATTAGTTCTCTCTTCTGAGTGTGTATAACACTATACCTGACGAGCGTGTTCGGCGACCCAATCCTTATCGATGAAGAGAGATGAAGAGTCGGACTGAGATTTGCTTTTCGATCCTTTCTTCTTATCGTCTCTGACGCTCTCAACGAGCGAACAAGCCGGTTCTCCAGCATCGTTTGTTGGAGTGGGAACCAAATCGAAGACCAAACCTCGATCAGAGCTTGAACTAATCTTCCCTATCACAAGCCCTACCTGAATTGGCCATCAATACCTATGTTCAGAAACCCTAAACCGAGTGTAAACTACTTACAAACATGAAGAGAGAGAGAAAGACCTCAGAGGGTATGGCGGAGTGGCTGAGACGATCCTCGGCCAATTGGAGTCGGCTTTCTTCTCCGACAACAGCTTTCACCATAACTCTCTCGCCGATCAAGCTCTGAAACAACAATTTGGAGTTGAAATTCAAACTTTGAAAGCGCTGATCACTTCTTCTCCGTTGCGAGACGACGACGAGCTTCGATTCTGCGATTTGGGCAGTGGCCTGTTTGGGTCCTGTTTAGGCTTGGAGGAGAAGTCCTACAGTACAGTGTTTAAAAATCCGGACAAACCGCTAATCCGAGTCGAACTGGACTGAATCATACGATTTGGTACGATTTGAATCGGTTCTATTAAGTGGTGTTTGGTTTTCAGTTTTCTGTTTATATTTATAAAAATTTAAAAAATTTAAATAAAAACTTGTTTGGTAAAATTTTTGATTTATAAATAAGTGGTCTCAGTTTATAAATTTGATCAAAAAATGTGTTTCCATTTTGAGTTTTCAATTTTTTTTTTTTTTACCACCCAACACTAGCCACCACCGCCTACAATTTTCCACCACACCCACCTCCCACCACCACCTCCACCACCACTCACCACCCACCTCCGCACCCAACACCACCACCCTGCAGCACCGCCAACCACCACCCACTCGCCACACCACCCCCTTGCCACTACTACCACTACCACCCACGCCACCACACCACCACCCACTCGCCACCACCACCCCCTTGCCACTACTACCCACTACCCACCACCACCACCACCACCACACCACCACCACCTACTTGTCATCCACACCCATCACCCGCCACTACCATCACGCCCGCCGCCACCACTCGCCACCTACTTGCAATCACAACAACCACCACCTACGTCATTCCACCACCCGCCACCGACCATCCACGCCCGCCGCCACCACCCGCCACCTATTTGCCATCACCACCTCACCACCCACCTACCACCACCATCGACCACCTGCTACCACCAGCCACCACCACACCATCGACCACCTGCTACACCAGCCACCCACCACCACCAGCACCTGTCACCCACCCACCCACCCGCCCCATCACCACCACCGCCACCCACCACCACCATCACCCACCCGCCACCTACCTACCATAACTACTCACCACACCCCACTTGCTACCAGCTACCACCTGCCACTGTCACCCCACCACCACCAACACCACCCGCCACCTACCCGCCATCACTGGCCATCCGCCACCCACTTTCGCCACCAACGCCACCCGCTGCCGCGCCGCGCCACCAACTCACTACCCTACTCGTTACCACCCGCCACCGTCACCCACCCAACCATCGTCACCACCCACCACCCACCCCACCTGCCATCCGCCGCCCACCTGCCACCACCATCCGCACCGCTCACCACCCACCCACTACCACCACCCTACCACCTACTCGCCACCACCCCACCACACCCCATCCGCCACCCACCTGCCACCACCACCCACCACCCGCCACTGCCACACCTACTCGCTACCACCCACCACTGCCACCGTCACCCACCACCAGCTACCCATCACCCACCTCACCACTTTTCTACCACCGTCTTTCGCCGCCACTTGCCACCACTTCCCATTTTTCACCTTTTTATATTTTTTAAATTTTTTAAACATTTTGTCAATTACCAAACGCGTTTGTAGTTTATTGTTTTTCAAAAATAAACAAAACAGTTTATAAAAATTTTGTAAATATAAACTGAAAACGTAAACGTTTACCAAAAACACCCTTAAAAATAGTTTGACTTCAAATTAAAAAAATTAAAATCATAAAACGGTTATTAATAGATTTTATGAAAAAAATGCTGTTAAATCGAACCGAACTGAATCGAAACGAATTTTTAAAAGAGATATATATATATATAATATAATATCAAGTTTTATTTTTATTAATGATTTTTTATAATTTTAATGATATTAAGATGGTATAGATATGTAATATTAAGTAATGCCTTAATATTATTAGTTTATCTTGAGTTCAATGTAATTAGTTTGAGTAATTATTTTGTTAATAATTAATAATTTATTTTTGTAATATAAATATTTGGAACCGTAAACCAAATCGAAAACGAACCGTTTTTTTTTAGTTTATTCTGAGTCCGATTTTACAAGTGTAATGGTCTGATCTGATTTTCAAAATCACAGAACCGTTAAGATCGATTCAGTTCTTAGATTTTTTCAAAATCGAACACACCAATCAAACCATGTAACCCCCTAAAGAAAGCCCAAACCCTCAGACGAGGGGAGGTGATTGTCCAAACCTAATTTGATTGAAATTATTAGCCCAAAACAAGCCAAAGCCCCAATTTATATATGTATACATAGTAGGGGTTTCTATTTTAAAGATTTTTACGAGTCACCTATTTTCAAGAGTTTTATTCAAAGGTCCTTAATAGAAAATTTTTTATTTAATAAAGTCCTGAACATTTTTATTTATTCCATTTTTACCCTTATGTTATACTCAAATCTGGAAATGAAAAAAAAAAAAAAAAAAACTCTCTCTCCAGATTTATTGAATCCAAATCCACAGAGAGAGAGAGAAAATTGCCATGAATGGTCGCGGGAAAGAGAGAGAGAGAATCCACCAACCATCTTTCTTGCTGTCAAGATCGATCGCGAAGAGCTTCATGATTCGATGAGAGACTTCTTGGATGATGATGATGATTAAAGAGGAGGATGAAGCAAGCATGATCAGGTGATTATGGCTTTGGAGGAGAGAAAGAGAGAAGGGTTTCGAATATAATTGGGATGTGAGTCTTTGTAAACCTGCAATTGCCATTGTTGAGATTTCGACGGGGTTCGAGAAAAATAGCAAAAGTTACAAAGCTATGGACAAGAATTGTGATAAACTGTTTAAACCAGTGATAAATTTTTTAAATCATGATAAATTTTCGTTTAAAATTTGATAAAATTTGTTAAAGCCAGTGATAAATTTGCAGTGTTGAGCCTGGGGTAAAATGAAAAAACACAATTTGAATTTTTTGGATAGGACTTACTGGGTAATAAGATTGGTCCATAGGACCGGCCCGTAACCCCCTCTTTTATTTACACCAATTATATATATATATATATATATATATATATATAATCTAATTTTTAAGTACACCCTATTAAATTATTTAGAATTATAATTTATTCTAATATTCTTTCGTTTTTTTCCAAATACACCAAATAAAACAAATTAAAAATTTTTTAATTACTTTTTGAAAAATCTTTTTTTGTTCACATATATACATGGAACACAATTAGCGAACCCGACATTGTTGAAGGAGAACAGTGAAGGAGGACAGAGATTATTTAGGCTGTTTTTTTGCTATTGTTCGACTTCAAAACTGAATAAATTCACTTTGTTCAGCTATTACACTGCCAAACAAGTAAAATTGTTCAGTTATGGAAGTCCAAACAATAATGACGAAAAAACAGGTTGAATGTTTGTTTTTATATAATAAAAAATATAGAAATCAATAATTGTACTTTGATATTTATGTAAATACTTACCTCATCTTTAATGAATTGTTCAAAAAATATTTTGATTATTGTTCTCATCAATTGTTGATTTTGTTCAATTTTTTTTTTATTTGCAAGTTAATAATATAATAAAAAAATAATAATATTGATGATGCTGGCGAGTTTTGTAGGGTGGATTGGAGTTTTGGAGTGGAAAAAAAAAAAGAGAGAAAAAAAGAAAAATAATTAAAACATTGGAGAAGAAGATTAATGGATTTGAATAGAAAGAATAAGTATAATTGATTGGAGGTGTACCAGGAGAAAAAAAAAATATTTAAAATTTAATATGTGTTGTCTTATAATAAATTCATATTCAAGTATAATAAGAATTAAAATTTAAAATTTGAGTTGAGCTGAAATAATTTTTAGATTCAAATAAAATGGCCCACAAAATAATTTTTAACTTTGAAAATAAAATTAGAAAACTAAGCCCAAGATAATTCTGCGAGATAAGGATTTTGTTTTGTTTAGTTTTCATAATTTTTTTTGAGAATTTTTTTTTAAGTTAAAAATTAATTTGATAAATAAGTAAAAATTCTCATCATTTTTATATAATTTTATTTTTTTAGAGGGTGTAAATAAATTTTTTTAAATTTAAAAAAATATATTTTAATATTTATTTTGTCAAACTAATTTTAATTTTTTCAAAAAAAAAAAAATAATTTGCTTGATTTGGATTTTTTAAAAACACTTTTTCAAAAAATTGTACTTTTTTGTTTTCCCTATTTTTATTTATTTTTTTGTTTTACTAATTTTTTTTTAATATTTTAAGTAATTTTTTTAATTTTTAACACACCTAACAGAAATACATTAAAAAGTATAATTTATGTGAATTTTTTAAAAAAAAATTTAAATACCAAAAGTACAAAAAAAAAAAAAAATTTAGTATATTTTCATTTTTGTGTATTTATTAATTTTTTGAAAGTATTTTTTCACAAATATTTACTTTTTAGATACATCTAAGGTGCATCCAAAACAGTAAAAAAAAATGATTAAAATTTTTAAAATATTTACCAAAAATAAAAAACTTAATTTTTAAAAAAATTAAATTTAAAAAATTAAAACCAAACATACTGAAATAGTTTTAGAAATCAAACCAAATGGGACCGGAGATTTTCCAGTTCCAAGTCTCGCGCTGTTACTTGACAGTTATCCCCTTTCCCTATTCTTCATCTATCAATAAAATTTTGATATATAATATTTCGAAAAAAAGTCTTAGTAAGTTGATTATTATAGAGGTTGATATTGTCCACAAATTCAATTTCAATGTTTTTTTAAAAACCAAGGAGACAAATCAAATCTTATTATTACATTTTCCTCTCTTCTTTTCATGTTGATATATTATACCATTATATAAAGGCCTACAACTATGTTGATAAGGCACTCACTTCCTTAGAGCGTGAAATCGATTATGGTAAATCTAATGCTTTCATATCGATTTCAGTAATCTTCAAAACTTCTTCAAATTACTTCGCGTTCCCCACCGCCTATTTTATGAAATCCTAAACCCATATGGGCTTGCAATCTATCGCCACGTGGTTCTCACGAAAGACAACTGACAGTGTCCCAATGCGCTGTGCTAAATATTGTTTTAAGATTCTTGTTATAATGTTAGTGTAATTATAACTAAATAAAAAATCATAATGGAATCAAATTAAATTACAAAATAAGAAAATATGCTAGAATTAGTATTACATGATATTGCAAGACATACACCAATACAATAAAATGGTAAAGGGAAACAC